CGGAGCACAGTGCCTTAGTGCTCACTCCCCAGTTTTATCATGTTTTTTCAGGTCAGGATGTCGGGCCGGGAACGTGACGTGACGTGACGGGGACTTTCAGGATATTTATATATGTTTTGGACTGTATAAATACGATTATGACTTACGCTTCCGCTTATGTTTTGATGACTTGTGATGATGTTTTGATATCTTTTGACGCACGCATTTGACGAACTCATTATTTTGACGAACTTTTAAGAAAATAAAGTCTTCAGTAACCGGACGTTTTTATTAAATTAAAACAACAGTTTTTCTAAGTTAAGTCATGATTTTTAAAGGTAGCACCCCGAATCAGTTTTCGCAAAGAAAAAGGCTTTATTTTCAAAGACTTTGCGAAATTTCGCGCACTCTGATTTTATAGTAAGGCGGGGTGTTACACAATCGACCATCGGTGGCTAGCCTTCATTGATCGGCCTCCGGTCACTACTACCTTTATAATCAGGACTCCACGAATGAATACGTCGATTTTCGTCGAGGCTCGACCACTCTTTGTAACCTCCGGGGCTAGATACCTGATCTTCCCTAACACGAGCTTGGTCCCCACAGTCTTGCCGTGGTCGTGAATGGAATGGAGTTTCATGTTTATGTGTTAATGGAAAAATGAGAATAGAAATATTGGGAAGGGATTAGACATAATTATCTCTAAGAGAAATTTACCACATTTAATATACATTTGACTTGGTAAAACAGTTGTCTCATATATGGCAATTATATTAAAAAACAGATGCAAAATACTACAAAGTTATATATAGGTGTACATCATTCTCGTCAATAAGTCTTAGTTAGGTCCTAGGTTTAAGGTGGGGGATGGAAAAACTGTGGATATTTGGAAATCTCCTTGGATCCGTAACGTCCACTCCTTTACACCATGTAGACATTTCCAAGTGTAATGTTTAATGCTTAAGAAGGTTAATGATCTAATTTTGCAGGACAGGATAATGTGGGACAAAGAACTCTTTCACCAAACCTTTAACCCATTTGAAATTGAGTCTATTCTTAAGATTCTTATAAGTCCTTTAGGGTTAAAGGTTAAGCTTGTATGGTACTTCATTGCTAATGGTACATGCACTGTGAGATATGCCTATAGGGCCATTCTTGTAAATTAAAATTTTTACCAGCTACAAGTGGGGTCAAGTAGTGATAGAGAATGTAGAAAAAAAGTTGGAGACTTCATGTTAAATTGAAACTGGAAACCTTTTTGTGGAGGTGAAATAATGGATTTCTTGGCACAAATGCACAATATCATGCGAGAGGTTTGGAAGTTTATCTTACTTATGGTTTTTGTGTTGAGGCTGATGAGGACTTAGAACATGTTATGTTTCATAGCTCTGGGTTGTAATACGTTAGATGTTGGTAGAGATTTAGTGGACAACGCTTCAAAACAAGAACATCTCTTATCAGACCTGGTGGAAAGAAGTTTTCAATGCTGATGATACTTAAAAGTGCATGAGGGACATGATCAACCTATCTACCTACTTGATGTGGTGGCTTTGGCGCACCATAAATAATTTGCTTTTTAGATATAATTACATGGCTTAACATCAGGAGGTGGAAGGAGCTTTGAAAAATGTGGGAATTCAACTTCTTGATGAAACCTAAGCCTGAAGTACAACCTAAGCTTTTGAAAAACACCAACCTAAATGAAGATCATTTTTCCAAGGGAGTAGGACAGTACATCTTAAATGTCAGTGTTCATGTTGCTTCAAGGGGAAGGGTCTGTCTTGGCGGTACCATTAGAGTGATAAAGCTTTTCAGCATGAACGAACTAGACCCTGACATTGGGCTGTTAATCTAGAGGAGGCCACTTTGGTAGCTGTCAGATGGATGTTCCAAGAAGCTCTCCAAAGGGTATTCGATAACATTGTTTTCCTTCAAAACCTGAAGAGGGTCATAGAGCTGCTTAACAAATCCAATTCAGCGGTGAAGGGCCCCTACTGGTAAAATTGGATCGGTTTTTTTCGCAAAATTAGAGGGCTTAATGTTGGTCAGGATATTTGTGCTCTAAAAAAGTCATTTTCTACTTGTAGTTTTAGTTTAAACACTTCTTCTTGTCTTGGTATTTTTATTCCCCCAAAACGATAGATAATATTATAAATCAAAATGCACAAATGTGCGTATACACAGCAACAGACGACTGAATACACAATAGCCAACAGCTGAAAAAATAGGAGGACAGGTCAGAAGACCGCCTAGAATCCTGGCTAGCAACGCTAGAATAAAAAACACTCGAAACTAAACTAACAACACAAACAACTAAAACAAACTACAAGGACCCCAACAGGGTAATACCCGAGTGTCGAATCCCAACATGATAATAAGTTTGACACTCGGGCTCACAGGGGCCAACGACCCAAACTAAAAACACAATACACTCGCAACACAGATACTAACACATAAGCAAAAACACAAGAAACAAACACAAATAAACTAAAAGTAAATCTAACAGCACTTTCCTAGCGAACGAGCTTGCCCGAACCAACAACGATCGACACAAGACCAATTCAGGCCAAGAATATATTACCGAAACTGCAATCAAGCCTATACAACAGTAGAACCCTAACCCCAAACCAGTCCCCGAATCGACCCATCGAAAATCAAGAGAGCATAATCCACCATACTCCGATTCTCTTCGAACTCTTCTAACACAGCTAGATGAGGTCGGTGGAACCTCCCCCGCCGCCTAACACCACTAGGCAAATGAAGGATTGAGCATGAGGAAACTGCCCTCCCCCCAACCGCCGCGACAAGGAAAGCCACGGTAGTCAAATCCCGCCCCCTCGTTGACTCGCACTCCACCCATCACCACCATGGACAACCAACGACAAGCAGCAGGGCCCCACCAGAAAAGTGAAGTGCCGTCGAGAACAGACAAATCCAGCATTCGCAGACAAAGGGCAAAACAGAGCTAACCGTCACAAATCTTGGTAGTTGTTTCTTAGCCAAGTCGATTATGAGGGGGACATCGGCTTAACTTCCCCGTGCATCCATTCTTATTGGCATTTGTTGATTTGATTGACGTAACTACAACGATTTGGTTATCCCGTTGTATCTGGTTTGATTTTAATGCAATGATTTTTATTCATAAAAATAAAAATAAAAAATGTATTTAATCTTTTATAGTGCCATACTGATAATCTAATTTGAATGCAAAATCAAAATCTGAGTAACCAATCACCTTCAAATTTTCAGTTCGTCTATACTCATGTAATCTTTTGTCCCTTAAAAGTACCTTACCTTCTTTGCAGCTCTGCAATGATCAATACAGATATATTCCTAATATCCCAAAGGTACCTTCATTCTAAATTCTTTTTTAATGTAATGATTTGTCCTAGTTAGTAGATTGGTTTGTACCTATTGTACAATTTATTGAGATATAAAATCTATCGTTGTGAAAAAAAAAAATGAATAGAATTAAAATTTTTAACAGTGATAAAGTAATCATTTAATTTGGGATTTTAAATTTTTATTTATATCTATTGAGATTCTCTTTTCATTATATGTGTTTATATTTGTGTGATTTTATGCTGTCTCCTTTAATATCTTGATGATCCCCTCTTACATCATTTCGTTATTTTCGGCGATTCCCTTTCATTTCATTTCTCTTTATTAATCTCCTACAAATCTGAATCTTGGATTTTGTTTATGTCAACAACATAAAAGAAACTCAAAATGCAAAATTGTATTGCACAAAGGTTCCCTACTTCCCTCAAGTTTTCTCAACTCCTATTTCAAAAGAAGAATAAAAATAAATAAATAAATAAATAAATAAATAAAAAAAGTCATGACTAACTCGCTTTGCCCATTTTGATCTCAAATGAACTGCATATGAATGCCTTTATTAGGCCACCATGTCCATGACCACTTTATTTTTCCCTTTTGTCA